CCAAATACCACACACACATACACACAAACACCACACACATACCACCCACCCACCCCACATACCACAGACACACAGACACAGACACACACATACACACACAAACACACACAGACACACACACACCACACACCACACCACACACAGGCCACACACCACACACATACCATACACACACACAGAGAAAGAGAGAGAGAGAGAGAGAGAGAGAGAGAGAGAGAGAGAGAGAGAGAGTCTGAGTGAGACACATTAAAATCAGCCCTATGAGGGAATTTTGTAGATCCAAGTATCTACCTAAAAAATAAAAATAAAACATAAAATAAAATAATAAGAGAAATTCAAATACTGAGGATGGATGGGGAGGAAGGCAGGAAGAGCCAGACACCAGAAACTATTCAATACTGCAGGCCTGAGGGAACACAGAGAGCACAGAGAGAAGCTTCAGGAAGCCTTGCTGATGCAGCAAGTGATAGCACAGTGTTCAAAGACAGCGCACGGCTCTGACAGTGCGCGCCAGCAACTGCAGCAGCGATGCAGAGCACTGATGCAGGGGGACCGTGAGCTTGAGGCCAGGGCAGGTTACACAGTGAGTTTAAAATAAACCTTGTAGCACACAGTGAAACCTTTTCTCAAAGTAATTTTTAAAAAAGGAATGATTAAACAGAAAGAAATATTATTGAATCTTAAACTATCAACTAGTGGGGCCCCTCTGAGCAACAGTATTAGAAAATAAAACATTTCAAGGGTTTCACATTTAATCATCTAGACTCTATATTAAGTGAAAATATCCTCCATTAGGGAAATTTACAGCTTTAAGTGCCTACAGTAAAAACAAGCAGAAGGCACAAACAAATCAGCTGCTTAATGGTATAACTCAAAACCTTAGAAAAACAAGAACAAACCCAACCCAAACCCACTAGATAGTCATGAATGACAAGAGTCAGGGCCAAAAGGAAGAGAAATGAAGAAAACAGCACAAAGTGCCACCTAATCTGACAGCTGATTCTTTTAGAGGATAAACGAGACTGATAAGACTCTTGGCCCAATTAACCAAAACAAAGAGGAGAGAAGGCAAATTCACAGAATCAGAAATAAACAGGGAAATATAACAACAGACACCAATAAAACTTAAAATATTATAAGAAAAATTAAAAAAAAAACCTGTGCTCTATTAAGCCAAAAATGCCTAAAGGCAATGGACAAATTTCTAAGTTTAGCCAAACCACCAAAATGACCTGAAGAGGAGGTCAGCGACCTGAAGAGTTTCCTAACAAAGAGAGAGACGGAAACAGAAAAGATCAAACTCCGCTCTTTTTGCTGTGTTCTTGTAGTCTTTATACCATTTCCTTGATATGTAAACAGACTGACCATTACCACCTCATTTGATGGACCACAGACCCAGTAGTAGCAAATCTGTACTTCGCTGTCACCAGCCTGGATTTTCAGCTGCCTGTAAAGGGGTGGGATGCGGCTGGATGCCAATCATTACTAAAGTAGAACTGGCTTGTACTGAACCAGCCATGTTTTCAAGGGGTGAAACTCATTGCACACATGGTGAGGGAAGTTTGTGGACTTCGAGTGGAGGACACATGTTGCTCCTCGCTGGCCAACGGTACCTGCTATTAAAAAATGACCTATGTATACCTGGCTTGGTTCTTAAACTGAGGCCTTGCAGGACTAAGCCATCTGTGCTTAGTGGATGCAGAAGCTAGGCCAATGGATAGCGAGTGTGTTGCCCATAGCTTAAGATGAAGCAGTAGAGTTGTAAGCCCCTCATGGGCCTCAGGCACACCTTTAAAGCTAACCTCTGGTTAACCTGTGTCTGGAACCTCTCTATCTTTGATGACTGTTCTTTTACATTCATTCTGGATTTTAAAAAAGTTCCTAAGGCAAAACAAACAAGAAAATATAAAATAACCCATTTAAAAAATGACCTTGGGATCTGAAAAGAGAATTCTCAGAAGAAGAAAGAAAAATAGCTAAGAAACATTTTTAAAAAAATGTTCATCACCTCTAGCAGCTAGGAAAATAAATCAAAACAACTTTGAGATTTCATCTTACCCCAGACAGAATGGCAAAGATCAACAAAATAACTGGCAACAAATTCTGGAGGGGGCATGGGGGTAAAGGAACCTCATTCACTCTTGATGGGATTGTAAACTGGTTCAGCTACTCTGAAGATCAGTGTGAAAAACTCTCAGAAAGCTAAAAATAAATCTACCAGATATCTGACCCAGCTATAGCTATATCATTCTTCAGAATCCACTCCAGGGGTTCAACATTTTCCTCCCCAGATGCTTGCTCAGCCACATTCACGGCTGCTCCAGCTGGGACATGGAAACAAATGTCCTTCAGCAAATGGGCAATGAAAATGTAGAACACACGCACTGTGGAATATTATTTAGTTGTAAAGAAAAATAAAATTGTGAAACTTTCAGGCAACTGAATGGACTGGAGAATATATTGAGTGCGGTAACTTAGGTCCAGAAACAAAAACAAGTATTGCTTGTTCTACTTCATCTGTTGCTTCTACCTCCAAGTCTTTAGATGGGAGTATACAGCCCTGAGTAAGTGCAGAAACCAGAAAAGCAAAGGAGAGGCAGGGTATGGGAGAGTGACAGACAGGGCAACCACAGGGCAGAAGTGATTGGAAAGGTGAAATGGGAAAGATAAATACATATACATATATAGTTTAAATGAAGATTTCCCATCTTTTCTGATAAAGCTCCATCTAAGAGTCACAGACCATGTGACAAAAACTCTAACACCAGGCACAAGAGGCTCCCTTTTGAGTTGTGGGTCAGGGTTGTCCGAGAGTCTTAAAACGTAGACTGTTGCCCTTGGCTGCCTCTCACAGGCAGAAGCTAAAGATAAGTCCCTATTGATGAAGAGAAGTGCACTTTGGAACACAGGACCCAGAGGACTTGAGCTGGAACTGACTTGAAAGCCTCATGTCTCAGGACTTTTCTTCATGGCATCAGAGGGGGCCAGGTAAGCTTTCAAGAGAGGGAAGCAACCAACAGTCCTAGTCACCTGTGAGGCCCAGGAACCACAATAACGGGCATGGCACATTAACCCTTCAAGTGCAGTAGTAGCATACATACTTTGCTGGTAACCAGCAACTCACTAATTGAACCTAAGGCCTGCTCAACAAGAAATCATGCTTAGTACTGGAAATCTAGCCAACTGCCTGGAGTTAGTGAAGTCAGGGATCTTGGAGGTAAACCTATAACTATCACTTTTCTTTATTAATTCAATCCCTTACTACATTCTAAATATCTTTATACTCACAGATAAGTGTAGTTCTCATACATCATCAAAGAAAATTCTCTTGCAACAGATAGAGAACATTATGGAAAACCACAACCAATTAAAGTTCAGAGAACAAGAGAATATGTAGTGTCCAGTCCCAACTGATTTACCTACAACACAATTCTGGCACCTAAGACTCAGGGATCGTAGTGGACAAAAGGGTAGAAAGATCTTAAGAGCCAAGAGAACAGAAAGTTTTGCTGTGAGATTGTGTCTTCTGGAAATGTCAGAGGTACGGGCTATGCCCATGAAGTCTCAGCTGCGTAAACAAGACCAGAGTGGAAACATCAGCGGACTTGTTAGCACAGGAAGAGGAAAGTTCTTCGGCTCTCAACCCTAGACAAAGAACTAAGGGCACTGGTAACACTGAGTTAGAGAAATGGCCTTCCCCAGGTCTTTCCCCAGTTGGTTTTCCAATACCAAGTGGTTAGCCAGTATACACAGGTGACATTATATGAACTGAGCAGGTTGGATTTATGTACTTTGTCACACATAAAAACACACTCCACAATAATTACGGAAAAGGAAGTCAGACATTTGAGAGAGAGCAAGAAGTGCATCAGAGAGGCTTAAGGGAAGGAAGAGAAGGAGGAAATGATGTCATTACGAATTTTAAAAGTAAAAAAAGAAATGCAGCCGAACAGTGATGGTGCACGCCTTTAATCCCAGCACTTGGGAGGCAGAGGCAGGCGGGTTTCTGAGATCGAGGCCAGCCTGGTCTACAGAGTGAGTTCCAGGACAGCCAGGGCTACACAGAGAAACCCTGTCTTGAAAAACCAAAAACCAAAAACAAAAAATGCAAAAATATTTCCAATGAATTCAATGCAATACCTATAATAAAACCCTCAGTTTGTCATTTTTTCAGAAACTGGCAAGTTCATATGGTGTAGGGAATAATCTCTTGTGTACTGTGTAAAAGTGTCAACTGTCAATAAAAATCTGGTGACCAATAAACTGGAGTGAGATTAGAAGGTAGGGTGCTCTGTAGAGAGCTAGAGAGAGCAAGAGAGTGAGAGCAAGAGCAAGAGCAGAGGGGGGGGAGGGGGAGGGGGGGGGAGGGAGAGAGGGAAGGAGGGAGCGATAGAGGCTCTGGGAACTAATCAGGTGGGAGGATTCTTTACCCAGACTTGGAGGAAGTTGGACACATGAAACTGAGGAGAGGTAACCAGCCACATGGCAGACATAGAATAGTATAAACAGGTTAAGTGACTTACAAGCTAGTTGGAGAACAACCCTAGCTTAAGGCTAGGCATGTATTAATATAGTGACCTCTGAGTCATTATTCAGGAACTGGGGTATGGGTGGAAAAACTAATGGTTACAGTATGGAATGCCCAAAACAATGTTGAGGAAAAAAAGGGCAGTGTTGGAAGACCGACAATTTCCTGATACAAAGGAGAGTCATCAGGACAGTATGGTACCCACATAAAGACAGATGGATCCATACAGACAGATGGAATGAATAAAATCAAGACATAAAGCCACAGACATATGGCAGGCTGGATTGTCAACTGCCAAGAGAATTCAATGAAGGAACAATTGTTTTTCTTTTCAACAATAATGCTGGGACAATTGAATGATCGTATATGCGAATGACCTTGGACCCCTGCTATACTCTCTATAATGTTAACTTGCAATGTATCTAGGATTTGGCTAAAAAGCTACATTATTAAGTATTTGACCATGGATTAGGCAGTCATTTCTGAGATATACACAATCAAAGGGGAACACAGTAGATTTCATAAGAATCAAAGTTCTTCCTCCTTCCTTCTTTTTCCTTCCTTCCTCTCTCCCTCCTTCCCTTTCTTATTCTCCTAGGGTCTCACTCCCTTGTGGGCTAGCCTGGAACTCACTCTGCAGCCTTGGTCTGCTTTGGCTTGGTGACCCTCCTGAATTAGCCTTTGGAGTACTGAGAATACAGAGAGGCACCGCCATACCCAAACTAAGATGTAGAGTGCTTGTGCTATAAAGAGCACTGTGAAGAAAGTGAAAGGAGGGACCTGGAAGCCAGAACTGGTGTGTAGAGATGTTCACTCAGCTTACAGCTCAGTGTGAGAAGGCAGATAACCTGGTTTTAAAAGTGAAAGGTAAGTCTGAACAGACATTTCCCCACGGAAAACAAATGGCCAACAAGCACATGAAAAAAATGTTCAACGTCACTAGCAATTACATAAATAGAAACCAATATTGTTTAAATACTGATGGATACAGACTCAATGATTGTAGTTACTAAGTACCAAGCTCTTACTCTGTGCTTATTCTTAATATGATGATGCAGGCATTGTTACTACGTTTATTTTATACATTAGGAAATTAAAGAATGTATTAAACTTTGTAAGGCTAATTCACACAACTCCCTGGAGACAAATATATTAGCCTATTGGTCGGATCCACAAACAGTAGATTCACCTGAACTGCTACCTATGCATTCCTATCAGACCATAAAAGTGCACGCAAGACCTATGTGCTTTAAAAATGAACCGCAAAACAATACGCTAAAATTACAAGGATGAGAAAATATCTATATAGAGATAACAGGATAATAAGGCACTCATTTAAGAAATAAAAGGGTGATTTATCATTTTTTATACTTTTATAAGATGAATTAGCTTTAGCAATTTCTCTCTTTAATAAAAAACTATGTTTAACTATATTTAGTGTACCTATACAGGGTGGGGAGAAAAAGTGAGGGAAAGGGAAGGGAGCGAAGAAGAGGAAGAAGAAAAGGGAGGGGGAGGGAGGGACAGACAGAGACACAGAAAGATTTAGAAAAACATAAAAACATATAAAATTGTCACTAAGCAGCTTGCTCTGTCCTAACACTGAGAATTGTTCTGAGTTAGTAATGTAGAGAAGTAAAAGAAACTATACTTCTTTCTTTCATAGTCTTCAAAATTTTATGAATTGATATTTTTAGGTTTCTAGTTATAATCATGAAACTTTTCTAGATTTTTTCCTTGCTTCACAACTTAATTATCAGTAGATACTTGTTTTTAATAACATATCAGACATTTTCCAAGTGTTTTTTTTTTTCAGATGGAGAAAACATCTAGTAGATGCTTCCTGGAATTGATCCAAATTCCAATAGAAACTGCGACCTCTTCCAGAATTGTTCTGACATCTCATGAAAGACACAGTAAAACCACACTGTCAGATAACAAATGAAAATTTGAATTTCAGATAAGCACCAAATAAAATTTAATATAGGTACTTGGGAAACACTTATATGCAAAGATTATTTGTTGTTTTTCTGAAATTCAAATTTCATTGAGAATTTTGCATTTTATACAGGAACAAAATCTGCTCAGAATTTGATGGAAAGAAAAATAGAATTCTTTCTTCAATTCATGACTATTTTATTTTATTTTATTTTATTTTATTTTATTTTGGTTTTTCGAGACAGGGTTTCTCTGTGTAGCCCTGGCTGTCCTGGAACTCACTCTGTAGACCAGGCTGGCCTCGAACTCAGAAATCTGCCTGCCTCTACCTCCCAAGTGCTGGGATTAAAGGCGTTCGACACCACTGCCTGGCCCAATTCATGACATTTTAAAGGTATTATTGACAATAAGATCTGTAAAACCAAGTATGTGCTATCTACTACATGGAAGATTTTCAAAGTCTAACTTTAATTCTTGGATGTTTTCTCCATGAGCAGTGATATACTGCAAGAATACAACTTCCCGTCATTTGTCAAAAACTGTCACTTACCTCATGAGACTTTCATTCCTTTTTTCCTTTGAAAATGGCATCCTAGCAGAGCCTGTGAAGATGTCGAGGAGCTGGCTGAGGGCAGAGTTCATCAACTGTCGAATGAGTTCTTGAAACAGGTAGTCAATCAGCTTCAAAAACTTCACATTTGTTTCTAACAGACATCGATACTGGGGCAGCTTGAAATGTGTCGTGTCGATTTCAGACGGTTTTGACTCAAAGTATTCCTTAACATCTTTCTTTTCTGCAACCTATAATTCATAAGACAGTTGGGAAATGCCCTATGTTAGGGCCTTGTCCTATGTTAGTGCAGATGATCTGTAGTCTATAGTATCATAACTAGCCTGGATGACACATAAAAATAAATTTTATCATCAGCTTTCATCAATATTTTACCCCTATATCTACTGTGTTTGGACATCTGACAAGAAGAACCTGTTACATGTTCTGAAGCCAATTTTGGGTTCAGAATCTTAGAAGCAGATCAGTTTAGAAGTCAGACAGGAATGCAGGGGCAAGAAAGTGACTCCATGTACTCACAGAGGGATCTTGAGTGGCACAGGGCTCCTGAATTCCCTTTCTAAAATCCTTAGTGAAGTTGTATTTCATCTAGATGTTTCTCCTGAGTTCTTAATCTTATGAACACTAAGACCTTAGGAACTAATCAGGTGCCCTCCATATGTCAGTGCAGGCTAGATAGGAAGCACCTTGAAGTTACAGAGATATTTATAGTTCATGAACTCACAGATATACATCTACAAATACATACATACATTTTTTTTGTATTTTGCATCATGCCTGGAAAATTTCATACTAAATATAATACCAGTTGGTTGGTTACATAGCCACCTTTGACTCAACTGCTGATTTCCAATACTTTCTTTTTTCAGGAATGCAATTTGGAATAATCACTCAGTACGCGGTAATAGGACAGACGCAGTTGCAGAATTACCTTTAAGGCTGTACTCTTTATCTCTACTATTGCTTTATTCCTGATCTCCTCAAATTGCGCCACTGCCTGGGTGGCTTGCTGTAACTGCTCCTCACAAAATGTCTCCAGAACGTATGTTCGGGAAGTGTCCACCTAGTTAAATGGCAATAAATGTCACATGTTTGAAAATGAAAAATCAGTTACAAAGAACAAGAGAAAAGGCATATGATCACCTCTCCATGGCATGCAGTAGAGCACAGCTCATAAATATATATATATTCTTTTATGCTTTACATACTATGACTTCAATGTTACTCAAATTTAAATCCTCATAGATAAATGTAACTAAATTTTTATGTTTTTTTGAGTCAGGGTCTCAGTTATGACTTCTTAGCTGGCCTAGAACTCATTCTGTAGACCAGGCCGCAGACTCATAGACATCTGCCTGCCTCTACCTCCCAAGTGCCAGGATTAAAGCCATGTACCACACCATGGCTAAATCTTAATAAAAATAAAAAAATACTTATTATTTAAAACTACGGTTTAAGCTAAAACAACTTAAATTAATGCAGAGCAGAAGATTGTTAAATTATATATTTTTTTTAAAATTAAGAAAGTGAAGGTATCATCTATGAAACCTGGGATCACTTTAATTCCAAAACTTACCTTTGCCTTTCAGATCTCAGTTATTTGTTAATATAAAAACATGAGCATGTTCTACAGGATAAACCTGGGTTTGGAAGGCGGTTTGCTTCAACAAAGCATGAGGAGCTATGGTTGGAGCCGAAGCACACACACAAAGCTGGTGTGGTGCTGCATGCTACATATCTGTAACTCTAGTGTTGAGGAAGCATGAGAAAGTCAGGCCCTAGGACTTGCCAGCCAGCCAGTCCAGCCAATTAGTGACTGTTAACTTCATTGAAAGACGTCTCCTCAAAAGCTAAGGGGAGCAGTAGAGGACGTCTGACTTCTGTTTTGACCCCCCCACACACACACACACATGCACATGCACTCTCCCCCTGGCCTGCCCTTATCTGGGATGACACAGAGTAGCATGAACACACACAAGTTAAAAATTAAATAACTACAATACATTACTGAAGATCTCCCTGGGAGAAATTTCCAGGAACGACACAACCAATTTTGTTGGTAATACAGAAGGTATAATCCATTTGAGTACATGGTATAAATCACCCTTCTTTCAATATTTTCTTATTTTTCTATGGTGTGTTAATTCTCTTGCCACAGCATGGTTCATCAGTAAATATGCAAGACTGTAACTTTAGTTTTTCAAAAGTCCATGTACTGGCTGGTTTTATGTGTTAATTTGACACAAGCTGAAGTTATTACAGAGAAAGCAGCCTCCCTTGAGGAAATGCCTCCATGAGATCCAGCTGTAAGACATTTTCTCAATTAGTGATCAAGGGTGGGAGGGCCTAGTCCATAGTGGGTGGTGCCATCCCCTGGGTTGGTAGTCTTGGGTTCTATAAGAAAGCAAACTAAGCAAGCCAGGGGAAGCAAGCCAGTAGTAACATCCCTCCATGGCCTCTGCATCAGCTCCTGCTTCCTGACCTGTTTGTGTTCCAATCCTGACTTCCTTGGGTGATGAACAGCAATGTGTGACTGTAAGCTGAATAAACCCTTTCCTCCCCAACTTGCTTCTTGATCATGATGTTTGTGCAGGAATAGAAACCCTGACTAAGACAATCTACTCCTAAGTTTGAAACATTTAAAGTTTCTGCCTTATTCTGTGAACATGGACAAACCATGATCTCTTTCAGTTCTGTCATTTGTAAGTAAAATTTTGGAAGGTTCCTGATGCTCTGAGGAAAGCTCAGAGAACCCAAAGTCTCCAGGAAACTCAAACATCCTTTCTCTGTCATTGTGAGCACTGTGACCCACTTGTGTCTTAGGCACAGACATGGGTTTCCTGGACTGCTTAGCTGTCCTGTTCATCAATTTCTTTCTTTCTTCCTTCCTTCCTTCCTTCCTTCCTTCCTTCCTTCCTTCCTTCCTTCCTTCCTTCCTTCTTTCCTTCCTTCCTTTCTCTTCCTTCCTTCCTTCCTTGCTTCCTTCCCTCCTTCCCTTTTCTCTTCTTTTCTTCCTCCTCCTCTTCTCCTTTTGTTTTCTGAGACAGGTCTCACTATGTAGCTCTGGCTGGCCTTGAACTCACAGAGACTTGTCTGCTTCTGCTTCCCAGGTACTGGGATTAAAGGTGTGCACCACCATACCTGTCTCCCTATTCATCATTTAAAATTTTTGTTATTTAGCTTATTCATAAGACAACCTAAAACAGGCATTTCCTCCTACACAGAAACCATATAAAGATATTTCTTGCCTCATCTGTCTCTGAGATGAACTGAATTTTATAGTTTTGAAATAATACAGTCGGTCATGGTAGCATAGTCTTATAATCTTAGCGCTGGAAAAGCTAAGGCAGGAGGATTATAAATTACAGGCCAGTCTGGACCTCACAGCAAGCTTTAGGCCAACTGATGAACACAGAAAGATCCTGTCTTGTAAAACTAAGAGAAAAAGGAAGAGGGAAGCACTGATGCTAGCATCCTCAATGCGGATACATAAAACGCAGCTGGGTGGAGGCGGAGGCAGGGGGATCTCCCGACTTCTAGGCCAGAGAGCTACACAGCATAGTCCATGACAGCCAGGGCTACACTAAGAAACCCTGGATCAAAAACCAAAAACCAAAAACCAAACCAAACCAAACAAAAAACAAACACACAAACAAAACCAAAACATATTCTATATGTAGGGATTAATTCATCCTCCTGAATTTTCATTTGCTCAAAGAATATTGAATAATTTCTATATAACCTTGATTCTAAGTTATGTTGATTTGATTCTAAACTTATGTTGATTTAGGTATTTTGTTAGATATTGATCTTATTACATGTGCGTATTCAACACAAAAACATTTCTGAGATTATCAAACTGCTAACTTGTCCAATCCCTTTACATTTCTCTTTCTTGATGTAGAGACATTTTACCTTCCAGCATCTCCCTACATACTGGGACAGTGAAGTAAAATCTGCTGGAATCCTGTTTAACTCTATATGGAATACTTAAGACTTATAGTTCTGTGTGTTTAATATTTTTCAAAAAAGCTTACAAAAAGCTAATTATATCAGGTCACTTGTAAGCTCATCTTTCCTAAAATTGTGAAACAGGAAATTTCGTTCATTAAACCAAGACTGCTGAATTGCATCTTGTGATAAATTCTTGATATGGAATACCAAGGGATGAGACGATACTAACCACCATGTGTTAGAAACTATTAATTACAAGTAAGTTTGCACTTCCAAGAGACATGTGACAATGGCTTCAGTCACTTCTGTTAAAGCATCAGCCAGAATTTATAAGAAACGTTAACTCCTACAACTAACGGCCATCATTCTCCATGTCCTTCACTGCTACTTATCACGCCATCCACAGTGACTCACTTATGGATCTAGAAATTGTTTCCTTTGTCCAAAACTGCATGCATAGCCTTTCCAGACCCCTTGTACCTGTACTGGTTTACAGGGACTGCATCTACTCACCTTGATAAGGCAGATGGCAGATGGATTGTCTTCGTTGTTCTTTTTGAGAGTCAGGGCATCTTCACAGAGTCCTCTCACATAAAGCAAACAAGTTTGAAATAACTCATCAGCATAAAAAAGGTGGTTGTACAGGTATGATCTGAAAGGAGAAGGTGACTTAGCTCTCATCCAAAAGAAAAAGACAGGTGTCATCACTCCACCAAGTCCTACGAGTTTTGATGTATCAAGCGGTGTTATGAAAAATTATTATATGTACCATCAACTTAGTAAAATTTTAAGATATATTTTTGTTTTCTTTTATTTTTATGTGCATTGGTGTTTTGCCTCTTTTGTTTTGTCCGTGTGAGGGTGTTGGATCCCTTGGAATTAGAGATACAGACAACTGTGAGCTGCCACGTGGCTGCTGGGAACTGAATCCGGGTCAAATCTAAATAATTTTCTCCAAGTAACAAGAAGAATGTTCAATGGATAAGGGACAGCTTGGATAATAATTCTTGAAAACTCCTATCTGTATCATAAAGTAAAAAAGGGCTTTTTTCTTCTTTCTGATCCTCTTTTTCTATGTATCGTGATCAAAAAGGTAGGACAAACCACAGCCAGTGACATTGGAAACAGAAAGGGCAGAATGGAAGCAGGAAAAAAGTTAGAATGGAAGAGAGAAGATTCCTTAAGACCTGAACCAGTCGGAGCAAAGCTTGCTTCTGTGGAGAGCGGGTCCTTCTGCCTTCCACAGTCCTCGTGTGGCCACAAAGATAGACAGATGGCAAATACATGCATCAAGAGACAGTCACCATTAAAGGAATGAAAGTTAGAGTCATAGCATTAAGAAAACACTGATTAAAACATGCTGAGATGCTTCTATACCCATCGGAATTCTGAAATAAAAACTAGTGACAACACAAGTGATATCAAGGATGTGAAGAAAACTGAATTGATCATGGGAATGACATAAAGCACAGCTATTCTAGAAATTATTTTGTCAACTATTTCAAAAACTAAATACAGCTGGCAGGATTGCCTTTGCCTATAATCCCAGTGCCCAGGAGGCTGAGGCAGGAAGGTACCAGGTCAGCCTGGGTATACAGTAAATCCTTGTCTCAAACAAAGAATTCAACAAACAATAAAAACCACTCAAACATCCAATGACCATATGACTCAGACTTTTAACTTTGGGTGTTTACCCCAGAGAAATGGAAACATACACGAATATTTACAGCAGCTTTCTATGACAGACAAAACTCTAGAAAATATGCAAGTGTACATCGATAGAGAAATGGGTTTAACAAACACAGTACAGCTGAATCTAAGAACACCATTGAGCGCTAACCAAACAACTATTGATATAGGATTCTTTCTACATAATGATTGGTTTTTTTTGAAACCTCTTTACTGAAGCATGATGAACAGGGCAAAGACTGAGACAGAAAGACAGATAGACAGACAGACAGACAGACATTTGGAGCCCAGTGTACATGTGAGAACCACCATCACAATCCATGTCTTAAGATGTGAACTTGCCTCACATCTTTATTACTATATCCGATAAGAACATTCCTTCAAAGACAAGACTATAGAGCCAGAGAATAGATCAGTAGTTACCACAGAGTAAGGAGAGGCACTGGGCAAGAAGTGATGGCAGCCATGAAGGCAAGTATGACAGATACTATGGTGACAGTAATATCCTGTATACTAATTAATATCAACATTCTGTCAATCATAATGTTCCATAATATTGTGAGCTGTGGAACCTGGGGTGTGGTGCGGGGGTAGGTAAAGGGCACAGAGGATTTCTCTGTGTTGTGTCTTACAACTGTATTTCAAGTCACAATTATAACAATAAAATGTTTACTAAAGACAAGAGAAGCACTCAGTTGCTTGAAATTGCACAAAACAAGAACAACTGTTATCTCTGACTACGTCATTTCTGTTTGGGGAAAGAAAAACAGAAAACAAAAACAAACAAGAAAGATGAAGAGACCATAGAAACTTGGCAGGAACTCACAGCAGTGTGGTCACAGAATGGCACCCTGTGATGTATTAGAAGCATTTAACTAGCTTCATAGAACAAGGGTGGGTAAAACTGCTGGCCTGGGGATAGATCTCAGCTGCGGAGCACTTGCCTAGTGTGCACAGGGTTCAACGTTCTTCCTGTAGTATCAGAATATCAGCACAATGTGACTTCCCAATGTGAATTAAAATTCAAGTGTCTCCAACTCATACTACATTTGAAATCGTTTTGCTTTTGGAATTCATATGCATTGTATATTAAGACTTACCTGCTAGTCTCTGTCTTACGTCTTTTAACATTCAGTTTCCAAGTAACAAAGGCTTTATTTATCCTGAAAAGAAAAAAATACTTCTTGAAGTCTTCCAAGTCATATAATTACATAGATATAGAACTTGCTTGGCTGCAACATCCAAATAAATATTTTTAAAAACGAAATGTGTTGTTACACATTAATTACACATTATGATCTGTATATATATTATACATATATCATATAATATACATACTATATATAAATATATAATACATGTTATAAATGTGTATACAACTATACATATACACAATTTATACATTGTGATATGGAAACAGTGGGGAAGAGAATCCAGCTAGGGAGGGGAGAGGTCAATACAGAAGGAAGAGGGAGGAGAAATAAATAACAGCACATTGTTTGAGAAAGCCTCAAGGATTTTTACTATTTGTCTATAATCACATACATTTAGATATACGTGTGCATATATCATAAACTATGAAATGTATTCTATACATTAATTAGCTTGCAATATGAACAGAAATGGAAACCATGGAGAGAGGCATCCAACTAGGAAGGAGTCGGATTATAGATATATCTATCTTAGATTATATATACTATCTATAGATGTTGGTAGGTAGGTAGAGTAATAGATGTAGCTGCTTGTATTGCTTGTATTATGGATGGAATGCTAATTATGTTCCCCAAAAATCTGTTTACACGAGAGGGTCTGCATGTAGCTTTTTGGGACCCTGCCCCTGCCCCCAGTTGGTTCTGATTGGTAAATAAAGATGCCAGCAGCCAATAGTTGGAGAGGACAGAGGCAGGATTTTAGGATTTCAATAAGAAGGGCATAAAGAAAAGGTAATGATTTATTAGTGATTATTCAGTAATGTTTGACATCATTTTTTGTAACATTTATCCAGAAAAGACTGAAATTAAAAAATTTTGTTCTGAAGTGGATAAAGTTCCTTAGTCTAATACACATTTACGGAACACCCCAGCCCCTATAAAGCCCCAAGCACACACGCACGCACGCACCCATGCACTCACGCACGCACGCACGAGCAGCGTCCCTCTGGTGGGTTCAGATGCTGTGGGAAAATTGCTGTTACTACAGAAACTACCAAACATGAGTTTTCTTTGTGTCCATCTCACCGGAAGTTGTAAAATATCTTAAACTTCTGCAGTAAGTAGAAGTAATGTCTTTCTGAAAGCCAGTCCAGAGTAGGCATAAGTTCCACCTCTTCCATGTTGACGCCCGTTTTAGTGATCTATGATTACAAAGCACAACGCGTGACTTCACTTCTAGTTTCAAGATGCTGAAAAGGCCCATAGTCACGTGTTACACCCCGCTCCTCATCCACTTCATCTACAGCCTAATCTGACTTCCTTCCACACAGCTACTACCAGTGACATTTTCTCCAGCTTGCTTTCTTGTGCTCCTACAGAAAGAACAGGAAAAACTTCCTCTCTATCCAGAGATATTTTTACAAAAAAATCTCGACAAGTTTTCTGCCTCACAATTTTCATGTTTTGTATAAGTTATGGCATGGCTGAGGACGCAGCTCAGTGCCAGGAAGCCTGTCTCGCGCACATCAAGTCCCAGGTTTGTGGTCCTGCTCCAATATACTGTTGAGTTGATTTTAGTTTGACAGTTGGGAGAGCAGAAGAAAACAGATAGCTATTAAACAAAGGACCACAATTGGCTAATTACAATCTGTGGTCATAGTGCTAAGGACATAACCGGAGGATTTCTACATCTGGTAAAGTTTCTGACCAATACACCAATAGAAGTATTCCTCGTGGAGCTGGAAAGATTGCTTTACCGGTAAAGTGCTTGGCGCACAACCATGAGGACCTGAGTTCAATCCCTAGAACCCACCTAAAAGAGCTGGACGCAGCGGAACCCCTAGAGAGCTGGAGATGAGTGGATCCCTGGGGCTTGCTGGCTAGCCAGCCTACTTCTTTGGTGAGCTCTGGGGCAGTGAACACGCACACACACACACACGCACACCTACACGAAAAAGAAATATTTATTACTCCTATTATGCCAACAAATGCCTGTTTTCTAGTTTTCACTTTAAAAAATCATGTAAAATAAAAAACTAATAGGTGAAAAACTTCCAATTGAGTTTTTAAAAGTTAATCTGTACCAAAGAAGAAGGAAACATTATTATTAAGTAATTTTCTCCTAAGCTGTTTCTTAAACATTGATTTCCTAAATAGACTTAGTTTATCTAAACTACAAAGACAGAAATCATAGTTTCATTTACCTAAAATTAGACAAATTACATACAACTGTATGTGTATACATACATACACATAGAAATGAAACTTCTATGTTTCATAGAAATGAAAATTCTATGGACTGATAATGCTCCCTCCAAAAGACATATGCTACCTAACAAAACCACTAGCATTATATATGAGAAAGCTTTCCAGTTGTTGGTCAAGAGACTCTCAAAATAAATAGGCTGCTGATGTTGCCCTTGGTTGCCTCCCAAAGGTGGGAGATGTGTCCCCGTGGCTGAGGCTGCGGGATGCAGAAGACTGGAGCGGAGTCTGACCTGAGAGCCTCCTCCCAGAGGACTGGCCTTTACAGTTCTAGAAGGTGCTATGCAAGCCATAAAAGGAGAGAACCAATGAACAGTCCTGCTCAGCTGTGGTGCCTACAAACCACAACAATGACCAGCAGGGCACAATATCCCTAAAGCTGAGGTAGTGGCATTCCTATCTTGGTGACAACCAACAGCTCTCAAATGAGACATAGGGCCTGTTCAACAGGAGAGAAAAGATGCCCAGCACTGGAAACCTAGCCAACGATCTAGGACTAGTGAGGCCACCAATAGAAGAGAAGCTATTACAGCCACTTTGTGAGATCGGCCGGATTCCCAGCTGCAGTCTAAATGTTTCTTCTGACATCCATAGGTAAACGTAACCCTCACAGCACATACATCAAAGATGTTTCTCTTTGCAGCAGATGGAGACAGTTACAGAAAACCTCAACTGGTCAAAATGCACAGACGACAGATTGTGGGGTGCCCAGCCCCAATGGATACATCTACAGCACAACGCCTGCACATAACCTGAGGCTCAGGGAACATGGCAGAGGAGGGGCTGGAAAGACTGTAAAAGCCAGAAGACCAGGGAGTCTACTGAGAGTCCTGCAAAGGACAGGGGAGCTCCAGGCAGGATATGGCAAACATATAGCTGCTAAGTAAGACTTGAACAAGGACGTCACCAATAGACAAATGAAATGGGAGGGAATTCTCATCAGGCCTTACCCCTAGACAAAGACCCCCGGGTGCTTAACAACCGTGGAGTGAGGGGGAGTTGTGGGATAATAAAGAAACAGAAGCCATGGATTTGAGAGGGAAGTGAGTTGGAGGGAAGGATTATGGAAGGGGTTGGAGGGGCAAAAGGGGGAAATGATAAAACTGTATTTTAATTTTAAATAAGTAAAAAAAAATGCTACTTTTAAAAAGCCTCTAAGCTGGTTACTTTTCTGTTCCTCTCCTCTCATGTTGTGGTCAGGGCCTCTATGTGTACCCCAGGTTGGCCTCAGACTCACTCCCCCCACCTGTCCCCCACTGCTGGGATCCCCAGTGTGCACCGTCACGCTTGCCTGACCGGCTAATACTTCCTGATGTAATGCATAAAGCAGAGCCTATATATTTTACATTACCTTTGAGACAAACGAAGCAGTGACCATCCAAAATTCTTTGCAGTTTTTAGCTTTGTAGGCAGAGACTGCTTGAAGATCGTACTCATTGAACATGCCTCTGGTGTTCTCCCGAGGAAGGCAGTATACGAATTCACCGTCATCTTTCAAGCATTCCTCAGAAAAAGAAGCTTACTTTGACACAACTTTAATTAATTAAATGGCTAAATAGATCCAGGAGAAACAATGTTAACCTCAAACCATAGCTAATTCACTTCAGTAGGGCCAATATTATGAAAGGGTTAAGGCATTTCATTTCCATCCTAGACATACACAGTGATAAGACATTTAGAAATACTTATCCACATCCTTATTACGAACTTAATGGTAGACATTGAACAAGCACCATCTTCCATTCTGGACACATAGGCTTAACATTTGTGCTGATGTTGACAGGAGTAGGTATTCTAACAACTGTAGGTATCGTTGCTAAGCAGGCGATGCGCAGTAAGGGGTGGATACCATATATATATATATATATATATATATATATATATATATATACACACATGTACACATGTACACATGTACACATGTACACATGTACACATATACACATATACACATATACACATACACACACACACACACACACACACACACACACATATATATATTGTCTGAACAATGATGCCTCTGATAACTTTAAAGAGACTGGGGCTTGGTGCTTTTCAGTATAAATAAGCAGATGCAGAAGTTAAAGTTTTTGTAGATCACCTAACTTAAGAAACGTCATAGACTCATGAAGTAACAGAGTAGAAACTGGAATCCAAGTGTGACTTTAAATTTACCCTCGAAGTTTCTCCAGTGAGTGATAAAGTGTCAGTCTCATTTACTCGGTAGTATTGAAAAACTGGCTATCGCCCATTAAGGAAACATAAAATGTAAATTCTAAAGCTACTTTCTTTTAGTTTTGAAACATGCACTTTTATCAACAATTTTTTTAATCATACAAAAATTGAATTGAATCATCTTGGAGTAATTTTATTAAAAGCATAATTTAGTAATTGCTGATACTCTTAGAAGCTGCTGAATCAAGTGCACTAAACTGTTTCCAGTTACTGGGGTGCTTAGCTTTAGGCTCAGTTTTATAGTCTTCACCTTGTTTTTCTTGAAGAGTATTTCCATTGTTGTAGCTATTTGTTTTCTTATTTTGGGTCCAATTATAACCTGTACTAAGAGACTTTTAAAAATAAATTTCAACCCCGAAAATAAGAGGCAACGGGCAGTGAGTTAAAATGTGTGAGTCGGCAGTGACAAGCCTTATTGTAGCTGTTTGCCCAGTTATGCCAGCTTTGTTCTAATTCTATTTTCTAAGGTAGCTAGAAACTTGGTGTACATAGAAAACACAAGTCTCTTTTCCATACAAATTAAGTATAATTTACTCAAGGATCCAAAGCAGCCATGGACAGTAAGAACTCTGTTTTACACTTTCAAACATGATGTCCACAATCTACCTGATGCTATAGCACATTTTTTCCATTGACTCTTCACAACGCTCTAGAGAAGTTCCCGTTATCTCAATTCCAAGCTCAAAGAATTATAAACCTCAGAGTGGAGAGATGCTTGCTCAAGACAGAGATTCAAAACTACGAAATTTATGTACTTCCAGTCACCTTATCTGGCTATGAACAGTGACCAAAAGTCCTTTTGTCCTTAGAATAACCATCTGGAGCAGGGATTGGCAAACCAAGCCTGAACCAGGAGTCTGTTTTTATAAAGTTTTATCAGCACACATTCATGTCCATTTGTTGTACATCAGTGCTTCCTTGCCAGAGAGCATGTGGTCTGTGAAGACTGAAATACTTGTTATATGGCCCTTTGAAGAAAAAAACCTGACCTCAGGGTTCCGAGCAATGCTTCTTAAGAATGTAGCAGTTTACTGAGTAAACATGACTAGTCGCACTTTCAGTTTCTGATTCAGTCGGTCTAGTGTGCAGCTGAGAACATGAGCTTATAGTAAGTTTCTTAAACAAGCTCCTTTTATTTCTTTTTGTAAGTCACAAAGTGACAAACACAGACATCCAAAAGTAGATTCCAGTTTAAGGCACATGGCACACTTTCCTGTGACCCCGATAAATAAGAGGAAAAGATGGGAGGAACTTATGGAAGATGTATTATAGACTTAAAACCATCATGAAATAATTATGATAATAATTTATATGAAATAAATTATATTGGGATTCTTTTATATTTGCCAGAATTTATTGTAATTAATGTTATTAATGAGCGCAGATGTGATATCTACAATGAATTAAACAAAAGTTAATATGGTTTCAAATTTTAATTTTGAATAGTTGAAATTGCATAAAATAGAATTGTACCTTTAGGTTGCGCTTTGGAACCACAGCCTTAGGGTGATACTTCAGAGAACGTGGAAACGACGGTGTTTCCCAGTCAAGCTTTTCTCTCAGCCTAAAAATATGTTTCACAGCATCAGTCTCTTCTGGTTCTGGTAGGAAGAGGTTTTTAGAGTTCAGTATAAGTACAAGTATAGGCATCATTTACAAATATTTCCATAGACAGAAAAATTAAATAGTAATAAAAGTTTACAGGGCAATAAAAGAAGAAACAGTTAGCTTAAAATTAAGCTTTAATGGGAGCTCAAATGAAAGCCCAATTCTTTACTTTAGACATCACAACTTGCATATACATGTGCACATGCACCTGTGCACACATGCATACACCCACATAAGCACATATGTACATACACCACAAATACAGACAAGGAACAAGGTGGAAAATAACCGTATGTGAACATGAAACTTGCTAGTGGCCAGCATGCTAGATCTTTAGGGATAACGTCTACTAACGTCTACATGCCCCGTTTACTAACTGGGAGTTAACCTGAGGAGTTTTTTCCTTATGCGTTCTGGAAACTGGTCCTCTGTGGGGTCAACAGTTTGAAACTATTTTCTCCCATCCTGTGAGCTGTCTCTTCTCTCCAGTGACTGCTACGATGACATTTCTTATTAAACAACAGAACAAGTCACAGGAGCCTTTGAGAACCGTACAAGTCATGTTAATGGCAACACTGATCATAACAACTCATTCTGTATCTCAGGCCCTCCAGAAATCATGCAAGTCAGCTGAACAAAACCATTTCTTTTTGGAAAAGTGAAATTTGATAAAACAGCACCAGAAATCTTTTCTGTTTCCTCAAAACCAGCAAAGAAGGGACTAGAATAATTATGGTAGCAAGATGGCCTCTAATGTAGTAAGCTGTCCCCCAGGAGAGAATGGCCTAGCACCCAAGCCACATTCTACTGAATAGCAGAAGTTACAGGACCCCAGGGCACTCAAGGGAGGCTGAATTCTGTACAGATGAGGGTTTTCTGCTGAGATATTGAAAAACCCAAATGTCCCTACATGGACAAGGGGTTTGGATAGCAACAATGATAATTCCACCTCTGGACTGTGGTATTCTAGTAAGAAACAGGAAAGTTTCCTCTATAAAATTTATGATATTAAAATAATGATTTCAAATATAAAAAAGTATCAAAAATGTTAGTGGGAGAATAGTGCTTAATTATTTGGACATTTAATCTATATATTTAATCTTTGTGCCAGGTATGGTAGTGCAGACCTATAATTCCAGAGACTGAGGCAAGGGAATTTCAATTTCAAAGCCACCCTGAGTGACATAGTGAGTCTCTAAGACAGCTAGAGGCTGACAATATATAGCTAGATGTTAGAGCACTTGCCTAGCATGTTCATGGCCCTGAGATACACACACACACACACACACACACACACAAACGTACACATACACACCCCAAACACATATACCATACACACATACACCACACACACAGACACACACACAGAGACACACATACACCACACATACACACACCACACACACACATACCACACACATACTGTAAGAATGTAATTTCAGGTCTCAACTTGAACTTAAAATTAAAAGATCCTTAAGTTTGAGTTTCAGTTTAGACTCAAATATTAGCTGCCCCCCCACACCCCCCAGGCACATCCCGGGAGAAGCACATTCAAAAGACTCAAACAAACATTCCAGGAAGAAGGGCCCAAGATAAGAGTTTATCAGGGAGAAGAGCCCTTTACACTGTACACCTGGGTAAAGAGAAGCCACTAAAGCTGACCCTCTTTGTTGTAAAAGATAAGATGCAAATTTGAGTACCTAGAAACCCGGCCTGGGAACAGCTGTGTGAAATCCTTTCCGGTTATTGTCTGAAAAGTAATTAACTGTCCTTGTGAACTCTGTAAAAATGTTATATAAGCTGCTTGTAGATTCAGCTCAGGGTTCCTCTTGTTTGTGTACAGGGGAACCCCAGTATACTGTGTATCATCTTATCAACAATAAACTCCACCTTCCCCCACCCCCCCCACACTCAAGTACACACACACACACACACACACACACACACTTAGGCACCTCCCCCACACACACATACACACCCCACACACGTTTTACTAGAAGCATAAAACAAAGCTATAATTTGTCTTACATGGAGTTCTAAAACAGTCAGAGAATATCTTCAGTAAGTACATAATCCCTACATACTCTGTCAATTTTAGCGATATCGTAAGTTTCAAAAATAATTGAAAATGTAGCAATTCTGTACGGAGCAAAACCTGCAAGACTCAGTAAGACTTTCTCTTTTCCGTAAAGTGTGCCCAACACAAGCAGCAAAACCATGTTCCCGAGGCAGTGTGCGGCATTTCCTACAAGCTGGACAGGTCTGCAGCGTACCTGCTCTGTCATATGGTCGAATTTGGTACATCTTCCCGTTTGTATAGGCAGTCTGCTTTGGCTTTTCTTTTGCCTTCCTTATATCAGGGAAAAATGGTTTTGAAACTCCTACACATTGCTGACTGAACCTTTGTTCAAGGTAATCTGTGAAGAAAAACATTAAGAACTGAGTATTTACTGTGAGGATCCTTAGTAACTTCACATACCAAACAATAGAGTCAGCCATCAGATGAGGTGCTAGGAGCTCCTTCTGAGCCAACTGCCCAGGTCACAGGAACAAGTATTAGGCTTCTGGCTGTTTTCCTTTGCAAGTTACATGCCTGCCTCACCTTCCCTACCTTTGAAATGAAGAGGTAACGATTGCCCTGTAAATAGCCACTGTCCTTGCCCAGGGGTGACCTTGACAACTAGGCTGCACTGAGGTGCGGAGAGGAGCCAGAGCCTCTTGGAATAGAAGTTAATGACAGTGGCAACTTCTTATACTGATCTTTTTCATCTTCCATACCTCACCTATTGTTACAGACACTGCCAAGGATTACATTAGTTAATACTGTTACAGTCATTGCTAAGGTAAAGGTCACTTTGCTGAATAATTTTATTATTAGAATACATCTTTAGAGTATGGGTGAATACTCATAGGAAATAACTAACTTTAACATGGGACTGAGTGCAGAGTATATTTAAATATGCATGCAGAAGAGCAGAGAGGGTATTGCTCATATTTCTTGTATGGCTTACTTAACTGGTAGGTTACATATAGAAGACTGGGGGAAGTTATTGATGATAGGAATTTATAGAAGCGATTGCTCTCTCACATTTAACAAATTCATATATAGCAAAGGCACTGAGCTACAACTTAGTATGTAAAAAAATAGTGTAACTATAAACAAGCAGGAGCCCGGTAAGTCTCGTCACGACCCGTTTCGCCTCTTCAGGGGACTTGCTCGATCTAAGCAGACTCACAGGTTCATCCTTTCCAAGGAACCACATGTTGAGAGATGGCAAGGTTTTGAGTTTTGGAGTAGGAAGAGAAGCTGAGGAGGAGGGAACCATTAGACAGCAAAAGCATCACTCAGGAGATGGATGGCCAGAGAATGTGGGTTTTCCCTCATTCTCCCATTAGGAGAAAGAGCTGTAAAATGAGGTTATTCCCTGAGGGCTCCCTCAATTGGCAGCTGTTTATCGGTGTCATGCTCCACATAGCCCAGTCTAGAAAGCAGGTTTTCCTCCCTACTACCCACTTCCAAAACAATCTGTACCCTTTAAAAATAGTCCTACTTCTTTGAAGTTCCTAGCTTTCTGTTACGCCATCCACACACTCCACTGTTTCACAGGAATCCAGTTGCTGGGTCACTCGGTTAGCTTGTAGCTTTGACTCCACAGAGGGCTCACTTTTCCATTTCATGCTCACAAACTGAGATCCATTTGATGCTAAGCCCTTCTGCTACATCCCAGATCTCCTCAAATCCCAACTTCTCAATCACTAACAATGTACACAACTACAGGTGGCATCTATGACACAGTCTTACAAAGGGTTTTCTTGTTTGTTTTTATAGATTATCTTACAAGAAATATAATTCAACAGTGTATAATTGTCCTATGAGTGGCTACTGTTACACCACACTGGGTAGCATCCTTTGCCTCCATTCTTTCAGCTTGCTTTTGTATCCTGCAACATGGTTGCCTTTCACCTCACCAAATCTATCCACCCCATTGTTACAGTGTTTCCACCCCATTGTTACAGTGTTTCTACCCCATTGTTACAGTGTGTCCACCCCATTGTTACAGTGTGTCCACCCCATTGTTACAGTGTGTCCACCCCATTGTTACAGTGTGTCCACCCCACTGCTTCACAACTCTCTTACAATCCACCATCCTTCCATTTTCCACCTTTTCTTTTTATCCACTTCAGATAACATCTTTACACATACTCTTGCCGATATCTTAGACTGCCTCTTTTCAGATTTGCCTATCTCAGTGCTATCAGATAAAGATTCACAGTAAAGTGGGCTTTGGCAACCCCACAAATTCACTGTAATTAACTGTATGTGGGGCCTGAAGACAAACCACAGATTCCATTGATCTTTTATCCACTTGTCCTTCTCCCTTTCAATGGCTATTTTTAATTTTTCTCCAAGCTCTTTGAACTTTCAAACAAATGTTATCTTCTGGCCTCCGTCCTTTGACTTAATTGCTTCTTCTCAGGTAACATGCAGGGTTATCACATGGAAATTTCCTCAACTTGCAACTGACACACAAACCCAGTTCCCTCATCTGTACCCATGGTTCCCTCTCATCCTGATTTAGTAAAGGATGCCTGCCTTTCCTGACACCAGAAGGATCCTTTCCATCTTTTATTTCCATATCTGCATTGTCAACTATGTTCTCCTGTATCCCTTCCACATTAAATCCACTCTTTGACTACACTCCAGTTATCACCACACATTGTCTCTTCAAAGATGAACTTCCCTGAAGAGTTGTAATTTTTTTTCTCTATCATCCAGATCTTAATCCACAGCAGTCCTGGAATTACACCAAAATGGCTCTCAAATGACTACACTTTTGAAGTCAGTACACGTAATGGACATTGTTCAGTCCTGATTTTATGAGTGTATTAGTGATGTTTCATACTTTAGACTACATTTTTTTTCAGAAGGCAGGTTGAGACAAGGTCACATTTTATACCCCTGGCTAGACTAGAACTCACTACATGGATCAGGTTAGTCTCAAACTTGCAACAACGATATTGCTTCTGCCTCCCTAATGTTAGGATTACAAGAGTAAGCTACCATTCCTACCTTCAATCTTTTCTCATAGTTACTTTCCATTGATTTCTGTGATATCACATATTCATTTCCTCATCATCCTGTCCAGTCTCAAGCTGAAAAATCCCAATGTCTATTATATCTGACCTTTTTCTGGTTCATAATTGACAGATACTTTCCCTAAGTATTCTCATTGTGACCATGACATAAACTTCTAATCTTAGACTACTCCCAAATACATCTTAGGCCTGACATTCCAAATCTCCTGAATCGTGTTCAGCTCTCTCTTCAGCATCTCGACTGGCATGATTCAAAGGTATTCTCAATTCAATATATCCAAGATCCAAATCCACGCCCACTTCCCAGACCCACAGATCCTTGTGCGAGGTTTCGTATTTTAGTGTATGGCACTACTATTCATTTCATTAAAATACCCCAGAAGCCCAGACTTAATCTTTAACACTTCCTACTCTCTCCAATCCATCAGCATGAATGGCTAAGACTACCTTCGTGACATCTAACGTCTGCTAACAGGTCTCTGAGATCAGTTCTGATTCTTTAATCGTAGTTTTCACAACAGAAATGGGAGCATATTAGCTCCTTGTTTGTCATGAATGCTGGGTTTGGTGGGGCACACATCTAATTCCATCACTTTGAAGGCAAGGCAGGCAGATTTCTTTCAGTCTGAGGCCATCCTGATCTACACAGCAAGGCCCAGGCTAGCCAAAGCTACCTAGTTGAGACACTGTCTTAAAAAAAAGCAGGATCTGGGGTTGGGAGGTGCCCTGGAGAGGTGGCTTAGCAGTTAAGAGCACACACTGCTCTAGCAGAGGGCCTGGGTTTGATTCCCAGCACCCATATCTTGTGACTCACAACTGCCTGTACCTACAGCTCCTGGGATATTACCACAACTCTGACCTCTATGGGCTCCTGTGCTCACTCACAACCACATACCCACACCTAAACCACACACATGCTACCTTTATTTACGTGTATGGTGACAAACAAGGATGACAATGATCAAAGTTTGGTCTAGTTCAGACAGGAAAGGACCACTAATTTTGAGACTGAAAAGCAACCAAGAAATGATATAGAAAGCAGAGAAAAATACCATCTAAGGAACTAAAGAGGGGTTGGGAGGGCTAGGGAAACAGATCAGCTGGTGAGGTGCTCGCTGCCAAAGCGTAAGGACCCAAGTTCCTTCTCCAGAACCCGTGAAAGAAGAGCAACATGTGAAGACACTTGTAACCCTTTGAGGAAGAGGAGACAAGAGGATCCCTGGGGACTGGCCACTCAGCCAAGCCTACTTAGCCAGAGCCAGGCCAGTGAGAGAGACCTTGTCTCACACAGCAAGGTAGGTAGCATCTGAGAAATGACACCAAATGTTGCCTTTTGGCCTTTTATGTATGTGTTCTCATATGCACATATGTCCCATACTATATGAGCACGTGGGAATGCAGGCATGGGGACACAGGGCACACACACTCCCTTCCCCCAACACACACACGAGAAATGAAAGAAAGTTATCAAAAGAAAAAAATTCTGCAGAACGGTGGAGTGAAACAGATTAATCTGTTTTTCAATCATTTCTGAGGATTTACCCACGAGGAAGCATCCGTTGACCTTTGAAGCGTCTTATTGGTAGAGTGGAGGAGGTGTGATTTGGAGTGAATCACAGACAGGGAGAGGTAGAAAACCCAGGTTACTCTGTCAAGAGTCATGACCCTGTAGTGGACACTGCTGGAGCACAGGCCTAAGCGTGCTTCTGACTAGGTTTTTAAAGAAGGCACGGAGCACATCCTTGTGCTTGGACCGTGAGGGCGGGGAGGGGAGAAGAAGGCGTGGGAGAAGAGACCTGATTGACTGGTTAGTTCTGGAGGACACAGCAGGGAGGCTTTCTACACAGACACAATCTGGAGGTCAGCACTGCAGACATCAGTGTTTATAAGGCGGGGACATGAAAGAGCAACACAGTGAGAACCCGACGGTTAAAACTTGACATACTGGGTAGGGTGGGATTTGAACAAAGACAAAGGAAGACTTAGAAAGGGAGGTGTGTGGAGGAGTGATTAGGACACTAGTAGTTATGGATGGGCCGTGCGTGTGTGTGTGTGTGTGTGTGTATGTGATAAACATGGGTGCATTGTAAGGTCTAGTTCATGGTGACTGCACTATAGAGAGAGTATCATGCATCTTGGTGATGCTGGTGGCATGCCTGTAATTATTATCTGTATCAGTATTAGGTCATGATGGTCTTAAGAAGCGG